AGAAATATTCAAATAAGAAATTCAAAAATTAGAGGCACCTCGGTGACTTAACTGAGTTAAACATCCAACTCTTGATCTCAGCTCAGGTCTTGATCTCAGGGTCATGAGTTCAGGCCCCACACTGGGTTCTGTACTGGGCATGAAGCCTACTTAAAAAAAAAAAAAAAAGAAACTCGAAAATTAAAACTGGGTCCAATGGACTTGAATACTGAGGATTAACCTCTCAGTTCTATAAAAACAAAAACAAAAAAAGGGATTTGACATCTAGAAAAGATATCAAAAGTACCTACTAGCTAAGACTGAGCATTAAATGAATTAATACGTATATAAACCACTTAGAACAGTATCTGGCATATAGTAAACTCCTAATCTGTATTAACTACTATAATTAACAGGGTCTATTGAATGTTATCAGTAGCATCACTGATAACACTGCTGTAGCACTTCTGCAGACCCTACACCCTGGGCTACCTCTTTCCACACTGTGGGAGTTTTCTCTGGATCACAGACCCTCTAAATAGTCTACTTAAAGAGATAGCAAAGAGATCATGGAGAAACACAGACAAGCCTGGGAGCTCCTTCCAGTGCACACGCATGGGTGAGCCCCACCCAGAGCTGCCCCCTCCTGGCCTCACTGTGTGTACATGTCCTTGGCTACTAAACAAAACAAGTATGTGTGTGTCTGTATGTATAAAATATAAATACATTCTATATCTAAAATATAACTTTCAGCTCCACCTCTTATTTGTTTTGCGATCTTATAAAAATTACCTAACTTTTCTTGGCTTCAGTTTCCTCATCTATAAAGTGGAGATAACATTTCTTGCAGTGTTGTAAGATAAATTGTATGATATAATGGCTATAAAGCACCCAGAACATTACAGTGAAATTGTGGACACTCCATAACTGCAGCTGTTATGATTAATTAGCTTCCCAAATGTTAGATTAGCTCTTTTTGTCTATCTCATGATTCAAAATTGAATCTCAGTATTCTTCGCTACTATGATATATATTGCCATCTCTAGCCAAACTTTCTTTTCCAAGATTCTAGATATCATCAAATAACTTAATGCTCTAAATTATCTAACCCTTCAAGTTAGAACTCTGTAGGAAAGGGATTTCTGCACCTTTTTGCTCTAGGTGAGAGGAAAATAAAAAGATATCAAAGAAAACACTTCATATATCTTAAGAAATTCTTAGAGGACTGCTTTGCTGAATGCTTATAGGGATATATACAGGAAAATAATTACATAATTATTCTAAAATTTTTAATTTCTAAAATTCACAATTTATATTAATGATTCAGTAAAAGTATATTATGAACCCAAACAAGCTGCTATTTGTTCAAGATAACTGGAGAAATGGTAAGAGATTTTCAATAGGTACCAGAATTTACTTTTTATCCATGCTTACATACACATAGCTATGATTCTTTCTAGATTCAAGCAGGTTGAGTACTTTCCTTTTCCTTTCCTCTAACAAAGTTCCCTTCCCCTGAAACCTCCAGCTGACATCTCCAGTCACTTGTGCCTTATTAAAAATTATATGAAGTATCTTAAAAGAACACCCCCAGATTCCAATTTTATTTAGAGTCAAGCAAATAAAAAATATAACAAATTACATCCTGTAATACTATTGCCATTCTTCTCCTCCACACTCTCCAAAAGTTATTTAAAATAGTCTTACATGGAGTTCTAGGGACTTCAAACTCAGGTCAGCAAATGCATCTCCAAGTTGCCTTTGGGTATGCACCATCTGGAAAAGCTGGGTCGACAGTGTCTGAGCCAGTCTTAAAATATTTTCATATTTTTTCTTGTTATCTCTTAATATATCAATCTGAGCTTCAAGTTCAAGGTCCACGGTTCTTGATCCACGGCCTAGCTTCTCAGAGATAATTTGTCGAGTACACTAAAAGTGGAAAGATGCACTTTGTTTAGGAAGGAAAAAAAAAAGAACAAAAGAGAAAAGAATAATACAGAATCCAAAGTACTAATGCTAAAGCATTTGGCATAAGCAATTTTGGCTTCAAACAAGCTAAAAAAATGAAAACTGTCAGCCCACTCGTAAGTTCACTTAGATTCAAACTAAACTTACCAATCATATCTACTATTACTAATCAGAGGAAGTAGTTTTGGGTTTTTTTTTTCAACTTTTTTAAAATTTATTTTTGAGAGAGACAGAGTACGAGCAGGAGCAGGGGAGGGGCAGAAAGAGAGGGAGACACAGAATTCAAAGCAGGTTCTAGGCTCTGAGCTGTCAGCACAGAGCCCGATGCAGGTATCAAACTCACTAACTATGAGATCATGACCTGAGCTGAAGTCAGATGCTTACCTGACTGAACCATTCAGGTGCCCCACTAATCAGAAGAAGTTTTAAGACTTAAGAGAACAATTTATTACTGCTAGATGAGCTCTCTCACATAATCCTATTTCAGGCTTAGTGTACTTGGGTAGATTATTTACAACAACAGAGATCCTTGGCAGTGATTTAAGAACATCAGTGGCCTGTTAATACAGGAATACTAAGCATACCAAAATTCTACTCTCCTGTTTGTTTCAAATGCATTTTTTCCTTCAATCTTCGTCTTAAACTAGCTGTGTATATGTGTGTGAATAGGAGGAATGGAGGGAAGAAAGGAAGGAGAAAGAAGAAAGAGGAAGAGGCAGGGAAGGGTGGGGAGAGAAAAAAGGGTAGAAAGCTAGAGAAAGAAGGGGGTGGGGAAGGGAAGATGGAAGGAAGAGAAAGAGGTAGAGATTAGAGATGCTTGAATTCTTTTACTTCTATCCAGAAAGAATAGTATTATGTTATTGTGTCCTGCCCCAGAAATGATCCAGGAAATTTTTGTTAGCAATAAAAAAATTATAAACAACTTCACTACTCAATAATATATCTTAAGAGTAACCATACAAGGCATTAATATGCTCTTCATCATTTAAAGTTAACAAAAATATTCTAAAAAAGTAATAAATATTGTAATTCTAAAAATTTAAAAATTTGCTCTTTTATCATGCCTTTCAAAGTTTTGGTTACAGAATCAATATCTATTCTAAAAATTAAAATAATGAATGAAATAAAAGTTGAATTTTCTCTTCCTTGAATCTCCCTAAATAACAGAAAACTATTTGCATCATCTAGACTCTTCTGTAAACCTCTACACTCACATACATGATATTTTTCAAGTAAACACGAGACCATGCTATGCTATACATAATACCATGAATATTTTTCCTATGAACAAATATCTTGAGACTTTTCTTTGTCAATATATATAACTCTATATCCTTCTCATGTCAGTATATCATATACTATTCATACTTTTCTATTTAAAATAGAAATGAATTCCCTGATATATTCTCTGTTCTAATCAGTTGAGGATCTTTTTTTGTTTTTTAAGTTTACTCACTTATTTTGAGAGAGAGAGAGAACACGAGCAGAGGAAGGGCAGAGAGGCAGAGGGAGAGAGAGAGAATCAGAAACAGGTTCTGCTGTCAGGGCAGAGCTTGATGTGAGATCATGACCTAAACCAAAATCAAGAGTCAGATGCTTAACCAACTGAGCCACCCTGGCACCCCAATTAAGGATCTCTGTAAATAAACATTTAAAAATAAAGTTCTTTTTTTTTTTTAAAGGTAAAGAAATTAAGTATACAGAAAGTGATAGGAAAGGTGAGAGGTCTAACTCACAGCAGAGAGATAAAACTATTTCTATGGAAAACATACAAACACACACTCTTAGGAGATTAAAACCATATTCAGAGAAAAGCTTAACTGCAGACTGTCATTTTTATGAGGGAAATATCAGCAAGAAATACTACCTGAAATGATAGCAAGACAAAGGAGCTATACCATGCATTCACCCACACAAAATAGAGTTCCCTATGCAGTATCATCATACACACTTACTCCTTTTGAAAGCCCAAGCATATGGTACCTTCTACAGAAACCCAGATAAAACAGTCTGTTCAAAGTCAGGAAGCCAGAATTCATTGAAGAAGCTTGGTAGATTGGACAAAATGAAAGAAACATCTACTGTTGTCTGAGTGGCCATTTTCCCCCAGAAATAACAGTTACAAGCAGATAGCAGGATCAAAGGTTTAATGAGGAAATGCTTTTTGTTTCCAGGAAGCCAAGGCAGTGAGAAGCATAAGGTGATAGTGATTATGAAGCATGTTAAATCCTGACACTGGAAACAAGTGCTGAAATAGAAATTTCCAAACTTGTATTTTAATGCAGGTAACATACAACCTTAAGGACAATCTAAGTAACCTGAAAGTGAGAGTACTTCTGATAGCATATTCCTGAAAATGCAGATGAATTACAATGAGCTGGCAGTCCCATTCCGTTTTCCATCAGTTAAGTACTCTATTCTTTCTTTTCTAAGATTTTTTAATTTTTAAGTAATCTCTGCACTCAACATGGGGCTCAAATTTACAACCCTGAGATTAAGAGTTGAATGCTGGCTCATCCACAGACTGTCAGGCAGGTGTCCCTACTCTATTCTTGAAAAAAAAAATTTTTTTTTAAAATTTATTTATTTTGGGGGCATCTGGCTCTGTCAGTAGAATGTGCAACTCTTGATCTGAGAGTTGTGGGTCTGAGCCCCACATTAGGTGTAGAGATTAGTTAAAAATAAAATCTTTAAAAATAATAATAAAATAAAATGTATTTTTCAATTCTTTTTTTGTTTTAAAGTTTATTTATTTATTGGGGAGAACAAAGAGAGAACCCCAACCAGGCCCCACACTGTCAGCCTAATGTGGGGTTCGATCCCACAAACTGTGAGATCATGACTTGAGCCAAAAATCAAGAGTCAGACTTTTAACCAACTGAGCCACCCAGGTGCCTCTAAAATAAAATTTTATTTTAATTCTAGTAGAGTTAACATACAGTATTATACTAGTTTCAGGTGTATGATATAGTGATTCAACAATTCCATATATGACTCAGTGCTCATCAAGGTAAGTATACTCTTAATCCCCTTCATCTATTTCACCCATCCCCCAAAATATGGAATGCTTCACAAATTTGTGCATCATCCTTGCATAGGGGCCTTGCTAATCTTCTCTGCATCATTCCAATTTTTTAGTATATGTGTAGCCAAAGCAAGCACTAAAAATACTCTATTCTATACTAGGAAAATACAAAAACAAAAGAGACAAACTAGAGTTCACTATTTACTACTATTCCTGCAGATGGTAATAAATAAGAAAATAAATTTTGGATTCAAATTTCATGAATAACATCAGGTAGATTAAAATATTTAAGAATACTTACTTATATTCAGGGCCTAAGCTTAAATTTGTCCCCATTATATATTTGATTTAAATCATCAGCCTAGTCGTAGAGTCCAAATTAATAAGCAATAAAGGAAGTGCTAAATATTCTTGTTGAGGAAAAGACTGAATCACTGAAAAGTGACTGATGTTTTACAAATAGCTCAAGCCCCAAATCCACTTAGTACCTTTGAATTTTAACAGGGACAAGGCAGTAGAATTTAAAGAATAGTTAAGTGGACGAAAGCTCCAGCTGCTTAAGTTAGAGCACTGGCCATACACTCTATTTGTGAACTGTTTGTGGCTGTAGTGGTTTGCAAATCAGGAATAGTCTGTATTTTTATACAGAGCACATGTTTCTTATCTGTCTTTTCAAGAGTAACACAGAAGTGAATTTATTCTTTCAGTTAATACTTTTAAAGTATGGTCTGAAATGTTTTACAAAAGCACCTGCGTGGCTCAGTTGGTTGAGTGTGTCCAACTCTTGATTTCAGCTCAGGTCATGATCCCAGGGTTGTGGGATTGAGCCCTGTGAAAGGCTCTGTGCTGTGCGTGGAGCCTGCTTGGGATTCTCTCTCTCATTCCCTCTCCCCCTCTCTGCTTGTGCTCTCTCTCTTTATCTAAAAATAAAAAAATACAAAAATAAAATCTTCTTTGTCATTAGAAATAGGCAGACCTCCTTAAAGTTGTTTGACATTATCCGCTTTTCTCCATTCCAACCTTCACATCCATAGTCCATGTCTTCATTATTCTCTCACATTACATAATAACAATAGCTTCTTTTTTAAAAAAATTAAAGTTTATTTAGGGGCACCTGAGAGGCTCAGTCAGTTAAGCATCTGACTTTAGCTCAAGGTCATGATCTTACGGTTCGTGAGTTAGAGCCCTGCATTGGGCTCTCTGCTGTCAGTGCTGGGCCCACCTTGGATCCTGTCTCCCTCTCTCTTTGCCCCTCCCTCATTCATATTCTCTATCAAAATAAACAAACATTTTAAAAAATTAAAAGTTTATTTATTTTGAGGGGGGAGGGGCATAGAGAGAAAGGGAGAGAGAAAGAATACCAAGCAGGCTCTGCTCTGTCAGTGCAGAGCCAGACATGGTGCTCGAACTCACAAAATATGAGATCATGACCAGAGCTGAAACCAAGAGTGGATGCTTAGCTGACTGAGCCACCCAGATGCCCCTACTATAATAACTTCTTGACAAAATCTCTTAGACTGCATATTCTACTCTGCTTCATGTGTAATGTCGTTCACTCTTGCTTAAAATTGCTCAGTGGACCCCCACTGTCTTTAGACTGGCATGAATCTGATCCATCTGCCTTTCCAACTTTATCTCCTACTGCTCTTCTTCTCTTCCACTCAACCACCCAGTGATATCAAATTATCCAGGGATTTCCCAAACGGTGCTTTCTCACACATCTACAACTTTGTTCATGAGGCTGTATTTGCCTACTGCCTGGAATTCCTCTTTTTGCTCCCTTTCGTTTCACTTATTTATCTTTCATACCAAACTGAGCTGCATTTATTTATTTATTTAATTTATTTATTCAGCCATTTCCTTTGTTCATTTATTCATGAAATTTGCCTCTAAATAGTAACATTCTATATCCACACATTTTGAAATCTAAAGAATACAGGTCTTAGTGGCACCTGGTTGGCTCTGTTGGTACAGAATGCGACTCTTCATCTTGGGGTCATGAGTTCAATCCCCATGCTGGCTGTAGAGATTACTTAAAAAAATTAAAGTAAATAAAAACAACTACAAGCTTAAAAAAAATACAGGTCTTATTTCTGAACGAAGTTCTAGGAATTATAGCTTACAAGGTTACGATTTTGTTCATTTGAGCCTTTCTCTCTTATGTCCTTTAGTTTGTTTCCCTTGTTCTTTATCTTGTTTTCCTTTCCCATCCTTGTTTTGTTTTTTACTTCTACACTAATCCGAGTTGAATCATTATTAAGATTCCATATATACCTCTTATATTGACATACCCTCATGACAACTGAAGGAATTAACATTCTCCTCAGAGTGATTATTTTTAACCGAAAATTTTATTTCATCAAAGCTCAATTGGGAGGAGTGTCTGGTGACTCAGTCAGTTAAATGTCTGACTTTGGATTTTGGCTCAGGTCATGATCTCATGGTTTGTATGTTTGAGCCCTGGGTCGGACTCTGTGCTGACAGTGCAGTCTGGTTGGGATTCTCTTTCCCTCTCTTTCTGCCTCTCTCCTGCTCCAGTATGTGCACGCTCTCTCTCTCAAAATAAATTTAAAAAAAAGAAAGAAAGAAAGAAAGAAAGAAAAAGCTTAATTTGGATACTGCAGCCTAAATCAGAGGAGAGAGGTACCTGACTGGCTTAGTCAGTAGAGCATGCAACTCTCAATCTTGCGGTCCTGAGTTCAAGCCCCGTGTTGGGCCTAAAGCTTACTTTAAAAAAACAAACAAACAAACAAAAAAAACCACTTGGGTGCCTAGGTGGCTTGGTCAGTTAAGCGCCCGGTGTCAGCTCAGGTCATGATCTCACAGTTCGTGAGTTTGAGCCCTGCTTTGGGCTCTAGGCTGATAGTTCAGAGCCTGGAGCCTGCTTGGGATTCTCTGTCTTACTCTTTCTCTGTCCCTCTCCCCTGCATGCATGCTCTCTCTCTCTTCCTCAAAAATAAATAAAGCATTTTTTAAAAACTTAGAAAAAGGTATTAACTGAAAGAATAAATTCACTTCTGTGTTACTCTTGAGAAGACACTTAAGAGACATGTGCTCTGTATAAAAATATAATAAACAATTCTTGATGTGCAAACCACTATACCCACAAACAATTCACAAATATAGAGTTTTATGGCCAGTGCTCTAACTTGAATAGCTAGGGCTTTCATTCACTTAACTGTTCTTTAAATTCTACTGTCTTGTCTCTGTTAAGATTCAAAGGCACTAAAGTGGATTTGGGGTTTGAGCTATTTGTAATACAGCAAAAATACTATAGATTAAATAATCTGCTTATTTGTTTCACAGAGGTCATAAGAAAATAGTCACCAATTACTCTCAAGCAATGCAACTAACATCAATAAATTTTTGAAGTCTAACTCACTTGCAAGCTGGTGCTATATGTACAGTTAATGCTCAGTCATTAGATCGGTGAATTCTAACTCTGAATAATGAATAGATCTCTTTTGCAATTCAGTTGCCATAAAGTATCAAAAAGAGGAGGTAGGGACAGACAGGTCTATAGCAGTTCTACAGCTATATGTATTCTAAGGCAATATATTCCTTCTTCAATTATGTATCAATTAATAAGCATTTTGGTAGCTTTTTTACTCTTTTGTTAATGACTTTTTAAACTATGCAAAGAGCAATAAAATAAAAAACTTCATTTTCTAACTGTATTTTTATGTTTTTAGATGGCATCATTCTCTCCTATATATTTATATATTTGCAAAATAGTAATCTGAATACATACAAATGAAAATTTTTAGAGCCAGTTAGGGTGGAAACATTAAAACAAACAAACAAACAAACAAACAAACAAACCAACCTTGTAGGTGTTCAGACTCCATTTTCTAACAAGCTCTAACTTTTCCATCGCAGGATTTTTTATTTCATCTGCTAGAATAACCGGTCCACTTTTAGTCTGTGTTCTCTGGCCACCTGCATGATCACGACAAAAGACAAAACACAAACCAGATAAAGGGAAGTAGGGAAAAAAAGCAAACCACTGATGCTTATTCAAGTTAAACTACTTTTTCATTTATAAATAAAAAGGTTTCCACAAACTGAAGAACTCGAATTTCCTGGAATAATTAAGGATACCTTCCAAACACTTAAAAAACATTTCTGTCCATTAAACACAAATGTTACGTGGTTTGTCTTAAAAAAAAAAAAAAAAATGCTGCAACCAAACTTATTTTCTCAGTAAGCTCTTTACTTCTAGAAAACAAAATTTCCATGATTACTCTTATAGCCTCATGACCCTAAAAATACTGTGTCAGTAAAAATCTGGAAGGTTATATACTCTTCACAGTGATCTCCTTTCATCATACTATGTAGAACAGAGCAACAACGGAATGTTACCATAATTTTGGAGGATTTAAAAATATAATTCAAATTTCAAATAGTCATTAAAAATATCTTGAAAGGCTAGGCTAAAACAAGGTCTACATTGTACCTCCTTTTTTTCTCAAGAGACCACCCACCCTCCTGCAAAAAGCCATAATTAATAAAGACAGTATAAAGCCCTGACAATGTACTGCTACAACAGCTAAGAAATTATGACATAAAAGCAACTCTGCACTTAAATAGCTCCTATAATAAAATATTTTTCATTGAAGAAAAATAGTTAAATGCTTAAGACACTAATAACTTAGAATAAAAATTTTCACAATTTAAAAAGAACAATGAAATAAGGAAAAGAAAAAAGTTCTTAAAAACGGTTTTAAAGTTAGAGTCGGCAAAAATTTCTTTTCTGACTCATTCTTCTAGTCCGACCAGCCTCTGCCACAACTTTACAACCTCATATTGAGAACAGTACATAAAACCAAATACATTTAAGATTTTAGTACAAAATTCTCACAGAAACAAAATACAGAATGTTAAAATTTCATGTTAAAAGAAATATGCAGTTGGACTTTTTTCTGTTTTTACAGTTGAGCAATATTATAGAGCAAATTCAATGCAAAGAAATGCATTTTTCATTGGGCATAACTGCTAAATTACAGCTTATTTTGTTGCAATCTCCAAGCTATTTGTAAAGTGTGGTTGAAAATAGGAAGACACAACATTTTCCACTTGACCCATTCCAAATAAAGACCAACCCAATTGTCGAAGGCTCCTGTTTTGTTGAACTGAA